TTTTTTCCACCCCAAATTTTCACGGTGACTGAGAAGGAAGTGAAACGAGGGCTTCCACGAAATGGTACTTTAAAAGCTGGACTGAAAAGATCAATCTGAATGCTAGAGACGTGCACTAAATCTTTTATTTTTCGTAGATGCAATACGCGTCGGCAAATTTCCAATGGCTAACAACGTTTCCCGTTTTGTTTGTCACGTTCCGAGATGGTGAAATACACGGAAGCTGTAGCTGTAGCTTCGGACACATGAACATTACTGAGTGTTGCGGATTGTTTAAGAAGCTTCAGAGTCACATGAAGTGGCATTAGAGCTGATGGTGCTTGTAAAATAATGCTTAGAGTATTTCAGACGCGCAAACGTTTCAGCGATGTATCGAGGAAAAAGCGGCGTGGGACGAAATTCGCGCTACGTGGGCTAGTAACGACACTGTAATTCAGTAGCTGTATTTCAGCACATACTGCTCCGTTTTCTGTCTAATATTATTGGTTAAAATTATTTTCTGATGTCTCTAGCGGGGATAAATGTTTTGGTTTCTTACGTTTTGTCACATTATACCACATGTCTACAGAACTGGCCATGTTTTTAGAAAATAAGTGTCTACACAGGCAATTACTTCTGAGGTTATGCGCATACAACGCAAGCCTTCAGTAATTTACCTAGATATCGAATTGTGTGGCAGGTGGAGATATGTGGTCAAGTATTGACGGAGCGACGCAGCGAGCGGCCCTCATGTAAATTTTTACGCTAACATTTGAATAGGTGTCGCGTAATTTGCGGGCACGGTTCTTTCATGTAAAAGACTCACATAAGGTCCGCTAACGTAATTCGCTTAAAACCCTTGCATGTGAACGACATAAAGTCCGATAAAAAGTGATCAGTTGAGCGGCATCCGAAGATACGACATACGCACGATTTTGTCTTTTGCAGCTGTGCAATGCAGAAAACACATTTTGACGAGAGGTTATCATTGTGTTCGTGTGTCTGTGTATGCTTCTGTACCGATCTTTCATCTCAAGACCTACAAAAGCTACAGGGCTGAAACTGTAGGAACTTAATCTACATGTACGTACGGGCCCCAATCCCCAAAATGGGCGGCCTTACCCGCGTGGTATCCACCTACCTGCCGGCCAAAATTTTTTACCTGTAAATTCGTAACTCGGAGATTTGAGAAGCTAGAAGGCTTAAATCTCAAGGGGATGTTCTCCGTTCCAATAGGTATTAATGAGCTCAAACCTAGCCATCGGTTAAGCGTGGTACCCACGTACGAGCCCGCCAAAGTTTTTGCTGGTAAGTCGCCAACTCGAGCATTTGAGAAGCTAGAAGACTGGAATTTTAAAGGGATGTTTACTGATGGTCCTGGCGGCCAATCTGAAATTCTTTTAGCTAGAAGCATCTGCAGGAAAAACCAGCGCCGTTAGCTAAAAAAGTGAGTTAGAATTGTCCTGAACTGTATTTGTCCGGCCAAAGACCAATAATTGTTCTTTGGCCGGACGAATACAGTTCAGGACAATTTTAATTCAGTCACTTCTAGTGCTTTTTCTAGAAAATAATTAGTCATGTGTGCAATTTTCGTCACCTTACGTACGCGGAAGGGCAACAACGATGCACTGAAAAGTATTATAAATGGTGCTTTCAAACTGATACACATACATAAGGGGAAATTTTTTTAGCGAAAGCAGTGGCGGAAAGAAGAGAAATCTCCTTTTTCTGACAGCTTTTTGTGTGGATGTCTACTGCCCATGTGCAAGCTTCTAAGTGTAAAATGAACCCTTGCTTTTGCTGGCTGTAGCGGCGCTATAGCGCAACAGTTCGTATTCCGTTTCAGATTGGTTTTTATGCGTTTTTGTTGTGCAGCGCTATAGCAATATAGCAAAGGCGCAGCGCAGCAAAAACGCATAAAAACCAATCTGAAATGGAATACGAACTGTGGCAAGTGTTTGCTGAAAGACCAGAAGTTGTTTCCCGCTTTCTTGCCTCGCTTATGGTTGCGTAGAATGTATACGCACAGAAAAGCATTCCGCCGCTCCCTCTCTCTGATTTTTTTTTGCCGAAAATCATAAACAGCCAAAGTTCGCCTCTAATCTCCCATAAGATTTCGTAGGCACGCGAAAAAAGGTTTTTCAAATAGATTGTAGGCGAAAAAAATCTCGAAACCCGACTATTTAGTTAACTCCCATGTCTTAAAAGTCCAAATCTCCTTCACATTCGCTCATTCTGAATTGGCCCGAGGGGTGACAAGTGCCGATAGTAACCAAAGCCTGCAAAGTCGGCGATAGATTTGGGGCGTTGCTTAGAAGCAAGCGAATGATGGAAAATTCAGAAGTTTTTGTTGCCGTGGCATTTCTGTACAAGCCGGCCATTTCTCCTGAGCTACAGTTAAAACCACAAGAGATTGTAAGTACCGCCGCAAAAAAACTGGCTTTAGTAAAGAACTGCCATACATATCTTAGCCTGTCACGCTCACTGCATAAATTCAGACTTACTGAAACTGCTTCCAGTTTTTTGTCACGTGGTCCACTTAGAGTTAGCCCGAGTAGTACCACATTATGGAATAGGATGCGATATTTTTTTAATCTTTCTGCAATATGTATAAGAGCATTTACTAATATTTTTCAGTGTCGGTTATTCATGTAGTATTTTTCTGGCGACCGAAAACCATCGAATCCCTGATCTAGCTTCGCTAATGCATCTACTCCACCGAGATTATGCATATTACTAGTCGCGTACGGTTTTAAAGGAGACGAAAGTCTCTCTATGTACATTGAGAGCAAATGCAATTTTTTCTGTTCCCGTAATTTTCCCTAACTGCTGTGCATTGATATTATCCAAATTTTTTAATCAAAAATCAATTCAGATTCACTATCGAGAATACCTTACAGCTCTCCCTGTGATTCTATCTTTTTGTTTACAAACCCCATTCCACGCATAAAGATGAAATTGGCAGTACAACTTGTGTAACCATCATATGTCTATTATCAATTTTCAGGCATAAAACAGTGCGATAACAGCTATGCTTGGGGGATTTCTTCTGTTTGCAGTTTTCTCCCTATCCGATGCGAACAATTTGGTAAGTGTTTATGTGAAACTCCTAGTGGCTAATGCATTACGCTTTCTCGTGATCCAAACTGGCAACATTCGAGGCACTGCTCTACAGACATCTTGAAACGGCTGTAAGAGTGCTTTTGTGGGGAGAATTGTTTAAATGGTTCTGAAAATGAACCGGTCGTCAGGATCACCAGCAAACTGACCAACGGACGATGCAGCATTGGTCAAAGGAATGAGGGAATTGCCAGATACACCCCTGGAGAACAAAGCCACTAGCTGCAGTAAAAAAAATATGTTAAAATTAACAAGTCAATCGTTAGTAACAAGTCAGTCGTTCATTGTTATAAATTGTAACAAATGAAAATGGTAGCTGCAAAAATTTTGAAATTTTGTTGCAACAAACTACAGTCGATGAAAGCCGTAATTTTACGCTGTAACAAATCACCTGATGGATGACCTTATAAGCTACAAGAGAAAGTTTTGGTTTTAGAGTACCACAAGCAGCGCGCGAAGCAATGCGGAACCATCGTTCGCA